AAATTTCATTTACAAATCATTTTTAATTCATGAATATAATTATTTTTATTCCTCATTTCGATAACTTCTTAACCCATAATCTAACATTTCATAATTCCACAATTCCTCTTTTATATATATGATTAATTATTCAATATTCTATATTTTAATAACTTTCTTATCTCTACAATTCAGTTTTTTATTTTTTTAATTCATGCATTTAAAAAAGCAGTTGAAGTACGTTGCTTTTGCAAGCAAAACTGAAATGCATTATTCAAAAGACATAGTAGAACTCATCCTTTTCATTAGATTTGTAAGGAGAAATGTATCCAATTCTTCTTGTTATTTATTCTAATTAAATTCACAAAATAAAGAATATAAATTTAGGAGGGATGTTGCTGCTTAATTGAATAACTTCCTCACAAACGGAATATATTTAGAAGATGTTCCATTTTTGCTCCAACGCCTCACAGATCAGTCCTATGCAGCATTTGGCAGATAGTGGATATCCAGAAACTGCAACACCGCAACAAAACATATTAGCACAGCTTATGTGAAGTATATCATGATAAAACAGTGTAAAAAGATATATCAGTAATATAACTATTTTTTATTAAAGAATTGGTAATACTAATTCCAAGATGACTTGACGAATCCCTTAAAAATTTACCTAAACTTTGGAGGGGTAGTTAGATACTGGGAAAACATTGAAAACGAAAATTATAGAGCTTGCTAAGACATTAATAAGAATTGAAGATCTCCGAATATTGAAATGTCAGGAAAAAAAAAACTGATTTTTGTTTGCAATTAAAATGCTTCTAATTATTGAAATAATCAATAGAAGGTCATCTATGAATTATAAAAAAAATTGGCTGTGAATTTAATGAAGCTCACTTGTGCATATATACAAAATTAATTGTGAATGAGTAGATAGTTTTGAGAATATACACATTATCACATTAAATTAAAGGATAACTGCTTGTAAATTTTTGAAAAAATACTTGTGAATTTTATGAAAAGTCAAAACATGGGAAGGTCCCTAAATCATTGATTTACAATTAATATTATTCATATCCATCACAATTGACACTTTTCAAATTTACAATTGACCATCCTAAATCACAAGTGATGTAAATTCATGATACTATCATTTATTCATAATTGAATTTTCATAAATTTATTAATGACCTTAAATTTACAAGTGACTATCCTTAAATTTATAAGTGATGATAAATAAATTTATAAAATTATATATCCCTTCACAACTAACTTTCTATTAATTCACAAGTAACATTACTTGAATTTACAACTAATTTCAGTTAAATTCATGAGTCACATTCCATTCATTATTTTAACAACTATTTATTTTTTAATTACAAAAATAATGATCATGGTCCTTGACATTTTAGTAATTCAGTGTCTTTAATTGTTATTAATGCCACAAGTTCTATAATTATCATCCTCCCTTATTATTTACATATAACCTGTATTATTTCGCATCATAACAGCAGATAACTAATAAATCTATGTCACGAAAAGAAAACTAATGGATCTATGACCTAATAGCTCCCTTAAGTACTGTTCTTGAGTATTTGATCATGAACTATTTACATATTTTATAACTTTGAGTTACTATTAATTAAATTTTGACTGCATCTAATATGTAATTAACAGCCAAAAGACAACCTTTTCACTGTTATACCCAGTATATCAACTTGAAAAACAACTACGTCTAGAAAACAAGCATTAAGAATCACAAACACTTGGGAGGGAATGACAGTTCAAAATATTTGAATCATTTCAATGGGATATTTTTATTCAGACTAGGCATGATTGGAAACAAACCACTAAGGTAATTTATCCCAGAATCTAATGAAAATAATTGAAATTCTATCTAGATAGGTGGAATTTGAACATTGTTGGAAGGTACAGTTACTTTTACCACTTTGAAAAGCCTTTACCTGAAATATAATCATGCATATAGTCCTTCTTTACACTCCATTCACCATTGCACCGACCTGAAAATATAAAGGAATCTATCACAATGATTTAAACCTCAATATCACACATGAACTTAGAAGTCATTTGGTTACTGGAAATGGTGGAATGAAATGGATTAAAGATAAGAACAAAAATGAATTAAATCACCCCCTTACCTCATGATAAGAATGATAAAATTCCATAGCACATACTAGAAATGTGAAAATATTACACCCCTCCACATAACTCCCAATCTCATAAATTAAATTATCCTTCTTCCTTCGTAAACACAATTCACTTATCTCTCCCACACGTCTTAATCATTTTATTTTTATCTTCAATCAATTTAATTCTTTTCTTTCTAGAAACCAAACAGCCTCATAGTTTTCTGCCACGTTAAGCCATTAATAGAATTGGAACATACCACATACACGGGACTAACAGCATCACTCACCACTGATACATAATCCTCTATGTCAACTAGCTTCTCCGAACTATAAGAGAGACCTGCATCATGTCCTCAAAACAACATGCTTACATCCAAATCACCAGCTGGCCAAAGTAGAAAGAAAACAGAAAACCTAAAATCACCAAACAGTGAAGATAACTCACCTACTATGTGAGAATTGACTGGTAAATGGCGTGTCACAGGTTCTTCAAGAACACGAAGGAGTACTTCATTTGTATCTTTGGCACGCACACGGATTTTGAAGCAATTCCACTGAAGTATTGTATAAGACCAAGATAGAATTCAGGAAAAAAGAGTTCCATTATTCATAAAAAAACAAAAAAAAAAAAACATCAATCTCCCAACGAAAGAAAACAGAATGAAGGAAGAAGGAAGGAAAGTCATATATATGAAGGAATACTTACAAATGACACCACAAAATCGCTTACATGTTCGTGGAAGACGAACATGTGGTTTGACTTCAAAAAGAACTCCTTTATCAATTTTGACATATATAGCTGCTACCATGCCAGCTTTATTAAGCGGGCTGTCTAAAATGGAGCGGAGAGCCTGTAAAATTCCAAAGTTTGATATGTGTAGTGGTAGAAAGAGAAGGAAAAGAGAAGAGAAATAGAGAGGAAGAGGAAGAAGAATAGAGAACTACAGAGAGACAAGAGAAAGTTTTACCAAATGGTACTCTCAATATTTCACTAAAAACATAAGATTTTCAGGTCTACACATCCTCATATATATACATATATATAAAAGAGCGGAAGCCTGTAAAATTCCAAAGTTTGTTTCTAAAATGTGACAACAACCAAGTGGAATGTGTGAGCCGACACAAAACCCATAAAAGTAACCCATAATCATATGTTCATCAATGGCGTACACATTGTTTTATGAGTTGTCACAAAAGCTTTTGCATAAACAGCATTCACTCTTCATCCATTCACGTTCATTTTAGTTAAAGAAGTTTGATTAATTTATCTTAAAGATGTTGGAAGATTTGGTCCCGGAAATAAGTACCAACCTCATGAACTATGTCAGGTCGATAATCATTAAGATTCTTCTTTTGATTCAACAAAAGCTCGGCATCGTCATCTGAACTCAGAATTTTCCACTTCTGAACCAAACATAAGAGAACCACAAAATAAATAAGGTGTATTGTAACCAAGATAAACAAATTTTAACAAATCCCTCGTAACTAGAAAATGAGCAAAGTTAACCAACAACCAACCAAACCCCATAAACAAGGTTCACATATTAATGTTTATTAATTGACATATGAGTACCTTTCTAACAAGACCCTTTGCAGAGAAGCGTTGTCAAGGATGAATATGGTTTGAGACCTCACGTTCTGCGGACAATGGACCAAAGGGGTATTTGGTTCACTTTCCAATGGTGCAGCAGTTGATGTTTGGTTCACTTGTGCTTCTCCTTTTAAGGTCACGTTATTAGTCTGTTTTTCCACCCTCTTACGCTTTTGCCTAAAATTTCTGCAAGGGTTAAGCATGACTGTTGATTCCACTGAAACTGATATCACTCCTTTGAGTAATGCTTTTGAGTTTGGCAATTGATTTTACTTCGCTCTGAGAATAGATAAAGACAGAAAAAAAATACTAAAACTCAGTAGTTATCAGCATCAAGCATATTCAATGTTGTCAAAGAAAGAAAGACTTGATACCTTATGCAAAGAACCAAAAAATATCATAGGTGTTGTAACATACAGAAAGGAAAATGCACCAGCATATTCAACATAAATGAATTGAACGTTGAAATTATAGTGAGAATTAATTAGTACACTCACCACCCACCAAAAAAAATGCATCATGTCAATGCATACAGCAAATTTAAATGGAAAAATGCACATAAACCAAAAAAAGGAAACAAAAATACATCTTACTTCCCTGAATTCAAGACTAATAAAAGTTTACAACTTAAAATGTAATGGAAGAACTTTTATTTTAGAAAAATATAATATTAACTCTAAATCTCGTGTAAAGAAGGGGGTGTTTTGTGTTCTTTCAGAGAAAAGGGAATATTTTGCTGCTTTTTGACGTTGACAGAAGTCATCATCAGATTTTAGTTGAGATGGTAAAATGTATTTTCAACAATACAATTTAAACCAATGAACACGGATTGGAGTGAGGTATACAGATGATAGAGAAGTGAAACTACAAACACCCATTTAAATCCCCACACATGAAAGTGACACTGAAAGAAATTATACTTGATGAACGTAGCATTTCAGTAAATCATAGCACAAGGCAGCTGACAAAGTAAAATAGTTTTTCAAACCCAATAAAAAAAAATGGTTTAATTTAGATTCACTAATCAACTGAGGTTGATCTGTGAGTGTAGGGGGGTGTTGATTGAACGAAACAGGACCGGGAGTCAAGAACAGTCCCATCTCATGCCCCATCCTGAAAAATGAACATGAAGGTAGTCCAAGGAGGGACATTATCAGGATGTCCCAATGAAGTAAACAAAATGTGAAAGAGAGACTTGAATATCAATATTTATTAAATTACATAACTTTTTAAATCTAAAATCAAAACTACATGAGCACATAAATTCAATTATTAAATTACAACAACTATAATTTAAAGTGAAATAATACAATCACAACTTAAAATCAAGTACATGGTAATCAACAAATGACCTTGCAAGTAACATAACAACAATAGAATCATTAAGTTACATAACTTAAATAAGAATATGGTTATAAAAAAATGAACATAAAATAAATGAACAAAAAATATATATTTTGACTCTCATTGAATAAATAAAGTACTAAATATTAATAAAAAACAAAAATATATAATAATATATTCAGGACCATCCCCAACATATTTTTGCCCTCTTCTGCGGAGTCTTGTCTTTTTTTATTTTTTTAGTCGAGACAAAGCCATCCTGACATGATTGGGACAAAATTGGACTGATCCAATAAGATGGCGGAAAACAAAGAACTTTGTTAGAACTTATAATTTTTCTATAACATCAAGAATAAAACCCAGAGGAATCTAACAATGCTTCCAATATTGAAATCTGAACATAATCACTTCATTCAATATAAATAATAGAATAAAACAGTACAATGTTCATAACACAATACACAACAAATAAAAATAAGGCAACGACAGAAAGAAGAAATCTCAGAACCATATACTTGTCAACACGGAGAGGACAACGGAGGGACTATGCAGCAATGAAGGTGGGCAGCTAGAGGGAATGACAGAGGACGGAGGATAGCGGCAAGCGAAGGCTTCTCCTATTCGTCGATGGTGAATGCCGCGAGATGACTTGAGTTTGGTCGCGAAGAATGCTTGCGATTTTCGAATTAGGTCCTCAGATCAGATTACCCTTAATAATATGATTATAAGTTATTATAAGGGTAATCTGAGCTGAATTGAAATATGATTATAAGATTACCCTGATTTGATGACCTAATTCAAAAATTGCAAGCTCCTCGTGTTCTCTTACAAACACACAGCTTGGGAATTATATAATTCTATATGTCATCGTTGATCCAGTATATACCCTTAATAAACATCAGATTCAATTATTTGCATTATTAATCAAATGCAAATCAACACCAATCTTTATAGCTAACTAAGAGCATAAATATTTGTGAAAGAATGCCGATCATTTGCCGCACAGCACATCATGGATGGCGATGATTATTTAGGTACCACAGAAAACATCCTGGTATGTACGAATAAGGAAAGATACCAGAAGGATCTGTCGTCCATGACATTTAAAAAATAATGACGTGGCTTTCAACTACATGAAGGAAAAATTCTCAGAAAGATTCAGTGTGATCTTGTCCATGTTCCAATTCCACTCCCGAAGAAAGAAAAGAAAACGGTGTGATTTCCTAAAAATCCCAATAGGAATCGCAGGAATATAATATAAAAAGGTATATAATGCATGGCAAGACAACCTGATGAATTTGTTTTTGTACGTACGAGAATCTGGCGGCTGGCCGAAGCCAGTGAAGGAGGAACGAATTATTCTGCAACTTGAATTCACACCCTGAAGTTTAAGAATATTTAAATTTGTGTAATCACCAGTACCTCGGCGCCAGATTATGGATTGTTTACGATGGGGCTGATACAGAGGTTATCACGAAAAGTCCACAGCAGATCAAAAAGGGCCTATTGGATGAATGAATAGTATAAGATCATTTGGTGTATGATAGTCAAGGAAGGAGCCCATCACACGTAAAAGGCCATCCACATTGATATGTGAAAACCCATATTAGTTTTTGACCAAAAACGCCAGATTAGATATACTTCTCTCTGTTTCTTTTCAATGGATAGGAGCAGGACGGCTATGAGGAGAAATCAAACATTCGCACCTTTTTTTTTTTTTTTTTAAATTGACTCAAATAAGGTGCATTTTTTAAAGTAAGGAAAGAGTGCTGTGGCGAATACAGTCGAACGAGGAAAAGGTATGGTATGGCCGTATGCGCATCATCATCTCTTTCATATTTTAAAAAAATTACAGTTCTGCATTTAGGTTTTATAACTTAGTGATTCTATTATTATTATATTACTTGTAAAGTCATTTGTAATTGCCATGTACTTGATTTTAAGTTGTGATTGCATTATTTTACTTTAAATTATAATTGTTATAATTTAATAATTGAATTTATGTCGTGTCTAGATTGTGATCTCCTAAAAAAAGGAAATCAATAAATGTAAGAATTGCCACCAAAATTTTAAAAAGATAACTTTAAAAAATTTTAAAAAATAAAATGGTTTATAATAATCAAAATAGGATTCAGGAGTCAGTTGTGTGTTGAGAAGGTGTTAGGCACGCCACATCACCCATTCGTGAGAACGGTTACCATAGTTGACTAAACAAAATTAATATGGCCTTAAATGAAATTTAATTACCCTTAATGAATAAAAAAGGAAAAAAAAAAATTATAATTAAAAAATTATTTATTTACAAGTTGGACTTGATCTAGAATAAAATCCTAAGGCCTACGTTCCCTTTAGAGGGATTAAAATTCACATAGTTCGAGGGTAAAAATACGTGTTAGTTTGTTAGTATTTTTAGAAAAGGAAATTTTTATTTTTCAAAAAAAATTAAATTGAGTTGGTATCTTTTAATTAAAAAAATCTTATTCTCTTATTTGAGAAAGAATTTTGTTAAAATAAAATAAATTGAAATTCTTGCATAAATTCACAAAATCTCACACAAAAATTAATTTAATTCATGATTGCAAAAATTTCAAAATCTCACATAGCATAGAAATTTTTTTTGACCTTTTTATATTATATAAAAAAGACTCCTTTTTTTAAAAAAGGTTAAAATAAATCAATTAAGTATTATAACTAGCGTGCCTGTGATGGCTCATTGTCACAAAAAACATACCAATAAACTAATTACCTATAAAAATTTTAAAAATCTCACATAGTATAATTAAAAACAAATCACACAAAAGTCTCAAATCATATAGTGCAATATGTGCTAGAGAAAGAATATAATAATATAAATAGCTTGTTAAAAAAAAAACTAAGAAATCAAACCTTTGGAGGCTTTACCACTTAATGCAACTTAAATAATTGTTCTAATCATTACCATCTTATAACAAAAGAAAAAATAACTGACCAACACATATATTTGAATGTATGCATACTTGTTAGAATAAAATCACACAAACACGCATGCGCACATTCACACACACAAAACTAATATTGGTGGTTAAAATGATCAACAGGCGAAAGAAAAAAGAAACAAAGAAAAGGAAATAAGAGAGAAAGATAAATAAATAGATAAATAAATAAATAAAATAAATTTTAAGAAGACAATATTAAATTAAAATCAAAAGGAGAGAGGAATGGAAAGCATACTCAAAATATATATATATATATATATATTTTTAAATAAGGGAGACATGCACGACCAGCACTATAAAATGAAAGGGAAAAAACATGTACCTTGGAAAATTAGATTCAAACTTGGTGGAGAAAGAAAGAAAACAAAGAAAAGGAAACAAGAGTGAGAGAAACTCAGAAAGCAAAGACTGAAGGCCAGCGAAAATGAAGTCCGAAGAATGGATCAGTTTAGTGTGAGAAGAAGTGAATATTGAAGACTGAAGACTCGAAGCGTGACATTTGATCTGGACTTCTAGTTTTGGAGATGGCTGACGCAATGACGGCGACACTGGCTAAACGAGTCGGTCGAAGGCTTAAGGGTTTCACTTTTAATGTTGATCAGTTGGTGAAAGAGAATGACTCAGCTGTGCAAGACAGACACAAGAGACAAGACAAGACACAGCCACGCAGGCACAGAGCAGGGGCAGCCATCTATTTTTTTTAAATTAAAAAAATATAGACAAACAGATATTCAAGCTTATTTGGGTACCCAAATAGGTTCGAAATATCAGTTTTCTATAAAATGTTAAGCCTAATTTAAATTTTTTTAAGCTTATTTAGATTGATTTGGCCTGAAATATCTACTCTAATCACAACTTTACTTCTTCTATTTATAATAATACAA